TTTTTTTTTTTTGATTTTGGATCCGAATTATACTGCCATGTCTTTTTTTTTACAGCTGTGCATATGAGGTGTCATTCTATTTTGACACATCATCATGCTTCAGTTAATTAACAGGACACGTCATTGGATTTTTAACGGAAGGACCAAATTGGGGTAAAAATGGTAAACAGTAGGGACCAAATCAGGGATTTTTTTAGTTTAGGGACCAAATCGAGGGTCCGTACAATAGTTTAGGGACCAAAAAAGAGTTTTAACCAAAAAATTTTAAACTGATACTCCATTTACTATGGTTATAGCTTTTAGTTTTTATAATTATTGTAGATAAAAAAATTAATAAATTTGTGAAAAAAAATATTTATTAATTGAATATGTAATTAAACAGAAAACTATTTTAAAATTATGTAAATTTAATATATTCTCATTGAAAAAAGGCCAAAATAACTTATTTTAAAAGCAATAAAGTAGCAATGTAGACAATGTGATTCAATTCTGGATTAATCAGAACCCAATGTAGCTTTTAGATATTGAGAGATTGTACAAAAAAAAAATAAAATGTTCATACTCATTGAGAATTTGGAATAAAATCATCCTTATTTTAAATATTAAGAATGCTATTGTTTATTTTATTAGTTGATTAAGAGTCGATACTAATGTTTTTTTTGGTTTGAGGGGTGGGAGAGGAAGAGAAACTTCTTTATTTGGATAATAAAAAATTAGGGGGAAGTGAGGGGTTTTTCTTTCTTTTATTATTATTATTATTATTATTATTTGGCATACCAAAAGAGGAGAAGAGACTTTGTTTCCTTTAAATTGAACGTGAGGTAAATGTATGGATGATTCTCTTATTTCAAAATTCCTTGGATTGCTTTGTTTTCATTCATTATTTAGGAAATTTAGTAACAAAAAAATGAAAAGTTCTATAAGGATTCTTATTTTCAAGATTCTAAATGATTTTCTCTTATTATTTATAAAACAATTGAATTTTAGTCAATTTTTCCTATTCAATTTGATTTATCTAATAGGTGACTTGGTATGTTCTGTTGGCATAAGCCTTATCTATATTTTATTAAACATTAATACTAAAGGGGTTGCCTTTCTCAAATTTATTGGCAGAGGAGGGATTTTCAAAGATCATACTGATAATTAGATTATGGGATTTGCTACGAATATAAGCATTGTTAATAGAGTAAATGTTAAGCTTAAAGACATAGAGGATAGCCTCTAACTTCATTATCGCTAAGGGATTTTCTAAATTTAACATTGAGTCTAACTCTTTTTATGTTATTCAATTATTGTTTGCCAATGTTTCTAACATTTTGAATTGTAAAAAACTTACGAGGAATTTTGTTCTAACTCAACAATACAACATGTCGATAAGGATAGTTATATGTGTACAAACCAACTTTTCAATATGGAAACATCACTTTTTTTAACTTTTGTTTTTGATATATGTCTATCTCTTGTGGTTATATTTTATAATGCTTGTGTACTAGGGGTTTACTTTCTTGAATCACCATAATGAACTTTATTTTGTTATACTAATATAATTTTGTCATTTTTTCTCTAAAAGAAGAAGAAAATAATAAGCAATAACTTCTTCTTTTTCAAGACATTAGCATTTTTCATTTCTATTTCAAATGTTTAATTAATAGTATATTTGGGTTAAAGGAAGGAGAAATTTTTTTGACCAATTAGATTGCAATATTTAAAAATCATTATAATTTGATCGGTTAAAAAATATTTTCTCTTTACTTGAAACGACTCAGGTTGAAATTTACCACGAGTCTAACAACTCTTCGGGTCAAATTCAATCGGTCTTCAAAAGCACAAACTCAAATTATTAATAGTAGTTAACTTGCACAATTGTATACTAGGTTTACTCACAAATCTCCATCGATGTGGATTTCATGGGTTACACCTTGATTTCCCTTTGCCCAAACATATTATAAGTTGTTTATTTTCTTTATATTTGATATTATAAATATCCTTTTATTTGCATAAAAATGTAAATGATGTTCTAAATTAATTAGACCTGGCAAAAATTCACCTGACCCGTCAACCCGACCCTAACCCGATCCTTAAAAAACGGGTTAGGGTCTACACATCTCAACCCGCAACCCGTAGATAACCCGTATTATCAACCCGTACGGGTCACAGGTCGGGTTAGGGTCAACCCGCGGGTTGACAGGTTGACCCGTTTGTTTTTATTTTTTATTATTTTTAAATATTATACTTATAATCCTTAATTAATTTTCCTATTGATAACTCATTCCATTAATTAATACTCCCTAATTTCTAGAGAAAGAAGAAGAAATTATGATAAATTTGATATAATTACCCAAGTATTATTATTATTATTATTTTGGTATTAACAATTACTCAAATATCATGAATGAAATGATAATGCAACTAAAAATATTAAAAGATGTGATGTTAGGACATAAA